AGTATGTATGAGTGCCAAAAGATCATTAGCCCTTTCACCTTTTCCTGTGAATGGGGACTTTGTCATCTTTCCAATTAAACAAGATCTGCATGTCTCATATGATTCATAATCAAAAGAGTCCAAGAGTCCATCTTTATGGAGTTTGGAAATGCGTTTCTCATTTATGTGGCCTAATCGACAGTGCCAAAGGTAAGTTGGATTCAACTCATTAGGTTTCAACCTTTTAGTATTAATGTTATAAATTGACATTTCAAGATCAAGGACATATAGTCCATTATTCATTTTTGCAGTAGCATAGAATATATCATTCAAATAAATGGAGCAACAATTGTTCCTTATTATGAATGAAAAACCAAACTTGTCCAAACAAGAAACGGAAATAATATTCCTGCTAATTGCAGGTACATAATAACAGTTCTCTAACTGAATTATTAAACCACTAGGTAAAGTTAAAACATAAGTTCCTACAGCTAAAGCAGCAACCTTTGCTCCATTGCCAACTCGTAGGTCAACTTCACCTTTTGCCAAATCTCTACTCCTTTTTAGCCCCTGCACATTAGTACAAATGTGAGAACCGCATCCAGTATCTAATACCCATGATGCAGAAGTAGATAAATTAATTTCAATAACAAAATACCTGAATTTGAAGTCTCTACTCCATTATTCTTATCTTCCAGGTACTTTGGGCAATTTCTCTTCCAATGTCCGGTCTTACCGCAATGGAAGCAAGTGCCCTCCTTTGCTATTCCTCCACTAGGCTTCAAAACAGGAGGAGTGGGTTTGGGTTTGGCAACTTCCTTGCCTTTCCCTCTACCACCCTGTTTGATGGGCCTCTTGTTCTGTTTCTTTCCATTACTGACCATCAGAATGAATTTCCCTTTTGTCTTCATATTCTGCTCAGCAGTTCTCAACATGCCTAGCAGTTCTGGAAGACTTTTGTCCAAGTCATTCATATTGAAATTCAGGACAAACTGACTGAAGCTCTCTGGCAACGATTGCAAGATCAGATCAATCGCAAGTTCTTTTCCAAGGGGAAACCCTAATCTGTCAAGGTTCTCCACATACCCAATCATCTTGAGTACATGGGGACTTACAGGGGCTCCCTCAGCTAACTTGTTGTTAAAAAGGGACTTTGAAACCTGAAACCTCTCATTTCTTGCTTGCTCTTGATAAAGCGTTTTCAGATGTCCGATCATATCGAACGCAGACATGTTCTCGTGTTGCTTTTGCAACTCAGAGTTCATGGTAACAAGCATGAGGCAAGCGGTTTCATTGGCATCATCGAAATGCTTCTTATAAGCATCTCTTTCTGCCTTTGGTGCAGAACTAGGAGGTTCCTCCTCAGGAACTGGTGTCTCCAAGACATACAGCTTCTTATCGTGCTTGAGGACAATCCTCAGATTACGGTGCCAATCCAAGAAATTTGTCCCAGACAATTTTTCCTTATCTAGGATGGATCGCAAAATATTGTTCGATGTGTTTGTTGTCATGGTAATCTACAAGAGAAATATGAAAATATAAGTATCATTAAAACAACATATTTAATTAGGCCTTTAATCAAATATGCTCCCACTATTTTATTCAAAACAAATGACCCTCATCATTTGATTCGGAAAATCCCGTTGGAAGACTTTCTAGTGGGTCGAGATCCATGTTTCACTTTGTTTTAAGTCAGCGTTAGGCTGATTACACAAAACTAAGTTATTTAGGTAGGAACTCCTTCCAATTGTATCTCATACAACTCTCGAATATTTTCAATTGGGTGAATAACTCCTTATTCTGATCCATCACATGAATCATTCCCAATTCTTGCTTCTAAACATATATAATCTTATTATAATTTGTTTAGTTAAGTTTGACCCATTGTTTTAGCAATTGGATATTACAATTATCCCATCACACCTTACTAATATAGAACATGCACCTCGCGTAGGCGAAACCTACAATGCTCGATACTAGTCTTGATGAGTGCTAAAAATTGGAAAGCATAAACTTAATATTTAATTTTGAGGGAATTTGTTATTAGTTTGATCTCACTGGCTTAACATGCAAAACGTCTATCACATGCATCAACATACAATTACATGCATCAACATACATATAAAAAAAAGATACAATTATGGCCCCTAACGCAATTGTTCTCTCAAGCCAATGAGAGAACCTAAGCTAACCTAATAACGATCTAAGCTTCTCCAAGCATGATCTCCAAGGTTATCCTCCTTTAATATTGAATACTTCCTTTTTTTTTCATAACATAATATTACATTACATATAAGAAAACTCGTTTTACATACGAGGGAGTGAGATGAGAAAAGAAGTTACATAAAGAGATTGAGAGAGAGGCACGACACGCAGGCCGTATTCAAAAATCCCAAAACAATAATAAAGGAAAAACTAAGGCCATAACTGATCACCACAAATAAATAATAATAAACACACTTTTATTATTAGTTTAAAATTCCGATAATTAAATAAACTAAATTAAATTTTGGCTGATTGATCACACTTTGCAGACTTAGCCGGGGGTTCCGCTGCCCGGTCAGCGGACGGTGGGTCAAGGGGGCAGCGCCTCCTTGCGGGGTTGTTAGGGGCAGCGCCCCAGCGAAAAATTTTATGAACACTTCATTGTATTTCACGTCGTTTCCTGCACAACTTTTGTGCATTTACAACCCCAACCGGAAAAGTCTGCGGCAATACAACACTTGTACTGCCATTAATCCTAATGCAACAATTTCATGCCGTCAAACACAACTCGATTGATAACTCAATATGATAGATCAACATGTCATTGCTTCACCATACTAACGTCGGATTCCGAAGCGAATGAAAATGATGATCTTTCAAAAGAATTACAATCCTTATGTGATTGAATGGATGAAATTAAAACAGTATATCCCATATACCATCTTTGCATCAGAATTTCTTATATCTTATATAAAAGTGATCGATCTAATTGTGTAACCTATGGATGATCAATGTATCGCACAACTTCACCATACTAATGTCGGTTTCTGAAGCATAATCAACATCAATCATCCAAATCGTACACAACAGATGCCAAATTTAATTAATCGTTTATTGTTAAATTCATTCTGTGTTTTAATCGAATCAAATACAGAAAAGACAGAAATTTAACAACTATCAGATCCATGGTTTCGTAAGTGGCTGTGATACCACTGAAGGAAAATAGCGATCTAAACGCAGCGGAAAACAAAAAAATTTCCTTTAGTGATCCTTACGAATGAGCATGGTCAGTGATAGAATCGTTACCTCTTTGTGGCGATTCAGATCTTTGATGCAGCGATCACAAGCGTTGATGAAGTGCAACGCCTCTACTCAGTCCACACGAACAACTTCCGGTCACAGTGCTAGCTGCTTACGAACGGAATTATTTGAGTGAGAAAAGAGAATCAAAAACGAAATTGCATCAAGTGAAAGCTTCATCACAAGGGTTCCTTTTATAGACTCTCTTGTGGGCTGTGGGCTAAAAACCCAATTCACATGATCCATAATAATATTATATATTATTATAATAACTATTATTATAATAAATATATTTATTTTATTATTATTTTATAACCATTATAAAATAACAATAATTATTATTATATTATCCGAATTTCTATTTTTCACTTAAGTGCACCGTACCTTACGGTGTTCCTTTGATTTCTCTATCTCTCATCAAACTGTCCTTATGTGTGTGACCCTGTAGGATTTCGTAACGTTGGTAATTATATTAAATTATATATTTAACATAATAAACAGTAAGCGGTATCTAGCAACACATCACTGCTACCCAAGTCACGAAAATGTCATGTGATCTGACAAAACCTTTTTCGTGATAATATATGTTTGTACAATTACCCTTTTGCCCCTATGTCTATATTGAACACAAGGCATACACTGTGTCATCCTTGTCCAGTTCAATATTGGGCCCTTAGACATTTCTCCTGTTATGCAGGATTGGCAAATTCCATCTAGGACACTCATGTCCCTCAGCATGCTTCGTGGAGTGCCCATCAACTGTCTTTATGATCATCCAGTTACGGATAATGTTTGATTAGCAATAAAGCACCCGACTCTACATCTAGGGTCCATAGTGGTTTCAGGTCGAAGGGTGGTAATACACCATTATCACCATGAGAATAACTTATGACACTTTGCATAACATACTATGTAGTATTCTCATAGCGGGTCAATCCGGTATAAATATTACTCCTAATATTTATACCTATGTCAAGACTTGATAACTCTTTATCCATGATCCATGAGATGTGATCATCAGTCTATCTTCATAATAGTCTCAATGCTTTTAATGTTATCCCACTTTGCAATAAAGCTTGACTACGGATATTTTAAGAATAATGTCTTTATGTTTAATGGGATCTCATGATTAAGTCACACTTAACATTTCATTAAACAGACTAACTATTCTAGGGACTTTATTATTCTGAAAGACAAACATAATAAAGAAATGCCTTTTATTATTAAACGAATAATCCGATACAAGTACCAAAAAGTATTGTCCTCTAGGGCTTACACCAACACTTTTCATATGCAATACCATTCTCCTTGCAATAGGAATCAAATGACCCACAACACTCTCTATCATTGTCTGAATGAACACATTTCAGCTTCTTGCATGTTTACCTCTTAACCAAAGCATGGAATTCTTTGAACTTTTCCAACACTTGATCTTTTGTCTTCAAGGCATAAACCCATAGTTTTCTGGAGCAGTCATCAATAAAGGTAACAAAATAAAATGCACCACTAAAGGATTTTACCTTTAATGGATCACAAACATTAAAATGTACCAATTGAAGCAACTTAGACTTCCTTAAGGGTCTGTTTGAATTGATGGAAAGGAATGGAATGGAATGGAGTGGAGAGCAGTGGAGTTATGTTCCATTGTTTGGATTTACAAAAATTGAATGGAATGGAATGGAGTATGCTATGGATGCAGTTTTGCTTGATGCGTATTTGCATCAAGCAAAACTGCCATGGATGCAGTTTTGCTTGATGCGTATTTGCATCAACAAACATTGAGAAATAAAACTGGTAATAGTATGACAACAAGCGCTATGGATAGCATTCTTAAAGAATTGAAGACTCACTTTCCGGACAAACCAATTTCCAAAGAAAAAATAAAAGATCACATGAAACACATCAAAACAAAGTTCAATTCTTGTTATGACCTTTTCCACAATGGCTTGAGTGGGTTTGGATGGGATTCAACAACAAATATGTGGATTGCCGAAGATGAAGTTTCGAACAAGCTAATTGAGGTATTATTTACTATAATTGTTTTATACACTTACCCGATTATTTTTATTTGAGTTCACTCATTAAAAACTTTTTAAGTGATGCATTGTTTCGTTTATTTTGGTGTAGAAAAAACCCGAAGCTGCTGAATGGAAAAACAAGCCAATATTATTTTATGATAAATTGGCCAAACTTTTTGGAAAAGATCGACAACAGGAGAGCATGAAGGTACAACTGCTGAAGTGAGAGCAAAAAAGATTGCAAATGTTGAAAAACTTCATGGCACAACCATCGAAGAAATAAACCACTTAGTTGAAACCAATGAAGTCATTTTGGAGGGATTTGATGATGATGAACATCATCCCAACAATTCTCCTACAAGGCCTTCTATTACCAATTCTCAATATGTATCATCATCTAGGACTAAGAAGCGAGTAAAGAAGGTTATTGAAGATGATACAAGCATGATTGAGATTTTCAAAACTTTCAAAAAAAAATGGTTGATGTGTTTGAAATGAATTCCATGGAGCTTGTCAAACTGAGTAAAAATGCTAATAGTGGAGATATTTGGGATGAATTGGTCGAGATTGGGGTTGAACCAAGTTCTTTGCCTCTTGTATACATGTACCTTGTTAAGAATGTCGATGCATTGAAAGCTTTTAATGGAATTCCAATCGATAAGCGAAAGGAAATGTTACATCTCATTTGTTCCAAACTATCCATTTTGATAATGGTAACATATTTATTTATCACTTTTGAGTATTTTTTTTATCTTTAACGAATGAAATATTTGCGTAATTTATTTTATTTTATTTTTGCAGGTTTTGTGGAATTCTTAAAGAAGAGAGTCATTATCTATTATGGATCAATATTTGTCTTTTTTATTAGCAAGACTTGATATCATTATCTACTATAGACATATATTTATCATTTAATTTTAGCAAAACTTGGTTTTGTTTATGACTTACTATGAATACCCAGTATGGTGTTGATCAAAACTTGTGCACTTGGTATTTGCAATTTCAAGTTATAATAACCATGTTTCATTTATGAACATTTTAATTTATTACTATATGTTTTAATTTCTTTCAAGTGTTAAGTTGATATTTTTCTATAATTACTTATATATTATTTTAGTGTGACAATGTTGGATCTATCAATATTGTAGCAAAGGGTAAAAATTAAATTAAAAAGTTATAATGTTTTCCGCTCCGTCCAATTCCCAAACAGCGGAATGAGATATTAGTTCCGCTCCGTTGTAAAATATCCAAACAGTGGAATGAAGTTTATATTCTGTTCCGTTCCATTCCACTTCATCCTATTCTGTTCTGTTCCGCTCCGTTATTTTTAAATTATCCAAACATAGCCTAAGGGAGGATGTCTCTTGAAAGATGCTCTAGTTTGTTTACCACCCATGTAATAAGAACACCTCTCAAAATCTACATTCTTTAATCCAAGAAGAACATTATTTTTGACCAAAAAATTCATCCCTTTTTTCACTAATATGACTAAATCTCTGGTGCCACGAAGATGCTTCCATGCGATAACATTCACACCGTCCCTAGTAACCAAAGCTTTTGTCAAGTATATTTTAGAAAGATTTTTCCCTCTAGCCAAAACCAAGTTACCTTTGTTGAGTTTCCAATTTCTAGAACCAAAGTGATTGTCATAACCATAATCATCAAGCATATGCACAAAGATCAAATTAAAGCAACATCTAGAGCATGTTTGATACCTCTAAGCAACAATTCAATTCCCATGTTGGTTTGCAATCAAACATCACCAACACTAATTACCTTAGATACATCATCATTACTCATCTTCAACACTCCAAAATCACCAAAAGTGTAAGATGAAATCCTTCCTTGATGTAACATGAAATGTAACACCATTGTCAATTATCCATATGCTCTAGTCTGATACAAGATTAACAAACTCATGATTACGGAGAATAACAAGATCATCAGTAGTAGCAGTACTAACACAATCATCATCATGATCTTCATGGTCTCTTTGTTTAGACTTACCCTTCTTGCCTTTATTATCTCTTTTCCATTGATAACAATACTTATGTACGTGCCCTGTTTTGTGACAATAATGATACTCCATATTCTTGTATCACGACTTGGACTTGCTTCTGGTATTCTCTTTACTACAATTTGTTTCCTTTTTATGACTTCTCCCCTATTTTTAGTTACAAGTACCTCAGATTGAGATGAATAACCTTGTGCCTTCCTTCTCACATCCTCATTAAGAATATCACCCTTAGCCGTTTCCAAAGAAACAACACCTATAGAAGCAGAACTTATGATACAAACTCAAAATGTCTCTCAAGACTCTGGTAAAGATAGCAATAGAAATAATCCTTAAAGTTCATTATCAAGTTTGATACTCATTCCTAACATATGATCAAGGAGTCCTTGAAATTCACTCAAGTGATCTAAAATAGAAGTCCCTTCCTTATACTTCAAACTTATAAAGCTATTTAATATGAACAATTTTTTATTCCTTGATTTAGAGGCATAGAAAGACTATATCTTCTTCCATAAAGTTTTTGCATATGTCTCATTAGAAATATGATTATAAACATTATACTGCATATTGTCGAATAAACCCACATATTTGTTGATGTTCAAACTCTCATTCTTCATTAGACACAAAATTCGGCTTTGCGGAACTAAAAATCAATAAATGAAATTTCTTCATAAATAGTAAGTTTTTCATCTCGCCCTTCCATAGATGGTAACTATTACCATTCAACAATATCATATTCATCTTTGTATTTGACTCCACCATTCAAACAAGTAAAATAGCCCTTAACCAAGAGCTCTGATGCCACTTTAATGGGAAAATAAGACACAATAACAGATCAATATGCAGCTGATATAAAATTCTCCACACTTGTAAGAACCTTAAAGATCAATAAAAAATTTAAGGTGGCAAATCGAACAAATAAAGACACAAAAGAAAACCGATATTTTAACGTGGAAAACCCCTCAATATGATAGTAAAGTCACGATTCGTCCAAACCAAATAAATAGCTCCACTATAATCAATTAAGGGTACAAGAGAGTCTTAAAGTGATTTAGAAACTAATGCTAACAACCACAAATCACAAATCAAACTAACTTACAAATAAGAATAAAAAAACTGAAAAATTACCCAAATCTGCAGCTTTAGTGCGAAGCAGATATCTCTCATCTTAGGCCTTATTTTGAAATTTTGAATGGTTAAAAGTTAGATACAGGTGTTGCAAACCTGTCCTCCAGATTTGAGCTCAATCTGACAGTTAACAAATATGCAAAAAAACGAGAATATATTTCTCTATTTTTCTCTCTCTTTTGAAATCTTATTTTCTCTCTCAATTTCTCTCAATCTTAAATTAATCCTCTCCGCTTAAATAAGCAAGACAAGTAAATTAATCATATTTGAGTCTTTTTCCACATAAGAATGGAGCCCAAACCCATCAATTGCTCCTCTCTATAATGGTTCTTCTTATTAATGGTTGTTTATGGTGGGTATGATATTAGCTAATTTGATTTTATCACTTACTTTTAGAGGTAATTTGTAACAAACTCTAACTTAAAAGGGGAGTGTTCTAGTTTTATATTTATATTGTTTATTTTTTCTTTGTCGAATTTTCAATAATTTATGTTAATGCATTACGACTTTGATGAGAGAAGTTAGATAATATATAACTGGTCTTTATTTATAATTGACCTATGGATAATTTAATTTATTTATGTCTTATTATATATTGAACCTCTAATCTCTTTCTCCTTATCTACTTTGATATCTCTATTGTCAACAATGTGGGTCCCTAACTTGGTCGTCCTTATTTCCCAATGAAATGTACAGATGTATTTCATACTCTAACTTCGACTATCTAAATCTTACACGAGAGGTATTTAGATGAGGCATGAGTTGTAGGACACTCATTTATAGCTTCTTGCAAGTCAACTCCTAAATCATCCATTAACATATGACACATGATAGTTATGTGCGACAGATAAGACACATCGTACAAAGTGATCATCGTCTTACTATTTGATAGGTGGAAGTTGCTGATTTGTGCACAACTTCTCTATGTGAATGATAACAACATAACGAGCTAAGATTTTTCTGACATGGTTGAAGTTGAAAGTTTAAAAATAAATTATATTGATAGAATGCAACTATATATACTACATTTTAAACACTAAAATCAATATGTGATTAAATGTTGGCAGAATGTATAATCATAAGAGTTTAAATTGAAGTGGACCGCAATGTTATTTGGTATATTTCTTGTCTTGGTTATGGGGATTTTGAATGGTAGACGTTTTTATTAGTGTGATACTCTAATGCATTAACATTGGGGCCGATTTTCGTGTGCTTACAATTTGGGGATTCTACCTGGTACTCCGCAATTAAACCTCACCCCGACCACATTTTCCACATTTTTAAAATTTGAGGTTTATTTGCAGAATTTTCAAATTTCTGGGATGATACCGAAGATTTTAAAGCATCTATCAGAATTTTCAAAAACAAATAATTTTTTTACCACAATTTTTAAAAACAAATAACTTTTTACCACAATTTTCATTATTTTCGATAATTTGTATTGGAAATTTTTGTGAAATTTCTGGTTTTTTTTACCTAAAATTTCATAATTTCAGATAATTTTTACCTAAAATTTTAAAATTTCTGATGCAAATCTCAATTTTTTTACCAGAAATTTCAAAATTTCCGGTAGTTTAAAAAACTAGTTTTGTATCTTACTGAAAATTTCAAAATTTTCAATAGTTATAAATGTTTAGTTTTATATCGGAAATTTCAAAATTTCTGGTAGTTGTTGCCTTTGTTTTTTTCCTGATTGTTTTTCTTCTTCTTTTGAAATGAAATCTAGAGGCAGAGACAATACTATTGCAGGGACTGCTGCGGATCAAGCATCAGATCAGGGTAGGGCTGCTAGTGGTGCTGACGCTGAGTCTTTCCATCTACGTGTAGGACGAGTGGTCTCCACCGATTCACACCAGAAGCGTATGACGAAGTGGGGGCATTTTCGGGCACCTCGTACCACTCGCCACCATGGAGTTCGATCAGCAAAGCATAATACAAATGAGGTGTTGACAGACATTCCTTTAGTTAATCACGTTGGTGTGTCAGTGGTTGAGTCAGTAGTTAAGATAGTGCTTGAGCTGATGGTTGCTCAGGTAGTTGAGCCAATGGTTGTTCAGAATGTTGTCGAGAAGGTTGCTCGGGAGGCTGTTGAGGAGGTACATCCAGAGGGTGTTGTTGGTGAGTCAGACTCATTAGTTAGTGTTGAGACAGAGGTTATGGTTCCTTCGACTGAGCCCTATGTGCACATTGATGGAGGACCCCTAGAAGGACTCATCGATCGGTCTGTGCTTACAGAGTATGGTGAGCATGTGACCTTATGATTATGGCAGGACGAGGTATATGTCTTTTACGTTTAAATTTAAATTGTTTTTATATATGTATAATTTGTTTAAGTATGAACTAATTAGTTTATATTTTGTTGTCACATGAGCGACCCGCACTGAAGATCACATCTCACAGGTCGAAGATGAAGGGCTTTCCGAAGACTTCGATGCCTAAGCAGGTCAGTAGGTTTATAAGGGACTTCCAGTTGTTTGATTTCGCCCATTGCTCACTTACCATGTTGGGCGCTTCATTGCTTACTGCCTTTGTTGAGAGGTGCCATAATGAGAGATCATCATTTCATATTCCGTTCAGGATATGACTGTCACTCTGGATGATGTCGACACGTTGTTCCATCTCCCTATCGGCAGCAAAATTTGGAAGGCTCTGATTTTTAGCGTGACCACTACTTGTCAGATTGTGTCACATGATTTGAGTTTGACTGAGGCAGAGGTACTGGAGGAGTTTGGTGATACCATAGGTGCGCACCTTCGTATGAACTGGCTTTGGAGGATTTACGATTAGCTTATAGTTGATGGGAGATATGAGGCTGCCGCTAGGGCGTACACATTACATGTAGTAGCATGTACTCTTTTTGCAGACAAGTCTGGTGTTTATGTTGATGTCCAGTATTTGTGTCTCTTTAGTAACCTCGAGGGGACCAATTGGGCTTGGGGTGTGCAACATTGACCTAGTTGTATACAACGCTTGGAGTGGCGACGGTTTTTGAGACCAGACAACTTGCTAGGTATTTTGAGTCTGTTACATGTATATTTTAAGTTATTGTATGTTATTGCTTTCGTATTATTTTTTACGAATATCATTTCTAAATTATTATTTGTTGTTGTGATTTCAGTGTTGGATCTACGAGCATTTCCCTACCATCTGTGACAGAAGGGTGCGAAATTGCAAGGTGGGGGCCCACGGGCGAAGAAGTGGAAGGCGAGGCAGGCACATCCTGGTGGTGTAGCTGAGTATAAGAGGAGGCTAGACGCACTGACAGTAGATGATGTCATCTGGACACCATACGATGCTCATAGAGTCCACCATGAGTTCAAGGAGTCTTCATTATATTCAGGTAATATGCAGCGGGGGACCTTGGTTGTTAGATACTGGCCTAAGAGGTGTCTGCGACAATATGGCTATGTTCAGAGTATATCGCGACTAGTTTCAGATATACCGTCTGCAAGTGTTCATTGGTGGTTTTGGAGTAACTTCTTCAGCTCCGGTCGTGCCATCAGAGATCGAGTGGTCCTTGTTCAGCGTCCCTCACAGTGTGAGGATAGTTATTTAGAGTGGTACTTCATTGTATTATATCCGCACATCATCCCACCCCTAGCTGATGATGAGCCCTTCTGATAACTGGGTTTCTGTTGATGACGCGTCGTCGCCTCCTCCAGTAGATCACGTTAATGACCAGTAGCGCTTCCAAATGATTATAGTGATTACGAATGAGTTCATGGGTTTAGTAAACCCAGATGGTGACATTTATTCTAGATTAGCTCGAATTGCACACATAGCTTGTGGGGGTCATGTTTAGATGTATTTTGTATTATTTGTATTATATGTATATTATTCAGACATATTTCTCATAACATTTTATTAGCTAATATTAGTGATCTTCCTTAAATTGTTGTCATAACTTAAACATAAAAACACTTAATATTACAATATGATTAATAAATAAGAAAAACCTAAACACTACCAGACGCTTCAGGACGTTTTAGCATCTCCATTATGTCATCAACGAATCTTGACACTTTCCATCTAACTCGATTCAGACCCGTTGTTATCCTACGGCAAAATGATTTCCACATTTCCTTCACATCTTCGCCGGTCTTTAACTCAATAAGGTTGTATTTCACCCTCCCGTTTGTATCGATCCAATCTTCACAAAACTCAATCTTTCTCACCTTTCTATTGTCGCCATCAGGCAACTATTCATTCAACTTCGACGAAAAACCGACAAAAAAGGTGGTGCCATTGAGAAGCTTGAGCTCTACAAAAGCAAAAGCTTCGTTGAAGTAAACTCCTGCCTTAATCAAAAATTGAGGAAGAATTATTGTTTTAGATGTGTTTATCAACAATAGGTAATCCTAATTTATACAAACGTGAATCAATTCTAAACCACACAAACTGTCGATACAATCACAGCTACACAATACTGTCGACAAAATCATGAACATAAAAAAAATCCTAAAAATAAAACTATCAAAAATTTCACCTTAAGTAATATTTCTAATATCAAGACAGAAATTTCATATTTCCAAAACAATTTGCATTTCACCGAAAATTTAAAATTTTCGTTACACTGAAAATTTGAAATCTACAATACACCAAAAATTTGAAATTTCCAATTCACCAAAAATTTCAAATGAATTATTGAAAATTGATATAACTACCAGAAATTTTGATATAATTACCAAAAATTTCTAACAAAAATTTAATGTGTTTTTCTCTCAGAAAACAATTGACATTATAAATGAAGGTGTCGGGTTTAATTTTAGGAGTGACTGGTAGAAACCTCTTACAGTTTCCTGATCACATAAAATCTCAAAGATCTTATCTTTTAAACCTATTATTCAAACATAATTTAGTTTATATCTAATGAAGTTTTGATTTAATCACAAAAAATTGTTTGTTATTTTTTTTGGTTAAATTATTTCCTATATAAACGTAAATTGTATGGGAACGAAATTATTGATACAAAAATATCACAAGCCTTTAAATAGCTCATTTTGAAAGGCAAAATGGTGCATAAAGGAAATAGCCATAAATCAATATTTGCTGAGGAATTATCCAAAAAAATCATCTTAAAGTCCTACTACAAAAGTATTTATGTATAAAACTGGCAAATATACAAAAGTGTTTATGTATAAAACTAGCAAATCCTTTCCATAAACCCTTGTACAAATAAAATAAAAAAAATTCCTTGTAACAATCTAATTAGAACTCAAACCTCAATTAATCTTTGGTTTTGGTCGCCTTGGTCTTAATACCATATAAAGGCACCCTAGAACAATCAAGAAAGCAGGAACAGTTGTCACATCAAACACCATCTGCATTTTTCTCTCTTTTGTACAGTTAATTGGATGGAGAATGGCAAGGGTCGTATTAACTTGATCAACAAATCTGCACAAATGAAAAGCCTTGTTGTTACTTGTTAACAGGCAAAACAACCAATGAAGAACATAAACTGCCCTATTTATTCATGCAGAATAGTTTATGTTGTCTAACTTTTTCGATGCATCCTCCAAAGTGTTTAGTAGCCTCAATGCATCAGCATATCGCAATTCTCCAGTGACAGTTGATGCCTGAATAAAATATTCATATAAAATTACGGTATGAACTGCTTAAGAATAACATTTAAAATTTATACAAGCAATTAGTGACTAGTACTCACTCTTCTCCAAAGGCTAACAACAAAATTGTACTTGTTTACAAGCTCGTGCTCCTGGGACTGGAAGATCACGAAAGTGTTTAGAGCTTAATTTTGTTAAGAACACATATAGATAATTCATCTTGCATCACAAGGAAAATAATGCACTCAAATATTCTTGGGAAACTATTGATGTCTTCAGAACGTGATAACTTTTCTGCCACTAAATGGCAGCAATACTACACAAGAAGGATACTAGTACGTTCCATTAGTAGGCGATGAATGGCAGAATTAACCAGTTGAATCGTTTCTTCAAGAGTTGTGATGACATAACTTCGAGCAATTGAATCAGACTGGAACTGTGAAATGCGCCAACCTTGTGATGTAGCAGAGAAAGGATTGCATCCTACCGACCATATCCAGTCCTGTCATGTTCAGAAATAAATCTTAGACATTGCAGTTTAACTATACTTGATAATGAAGTTATATTTAGAATACTAACAATTCAAGGAACTCGACACAAAGTATACAAGCATGATAATTAATAAATCAACACTATGCAATTAAGGCACTAAGCATCTGCTTTCAGAATAAAATGAAAAAAAATAGTTCATCAACTACTAGGGAGAAGGGTGAACCGGTAAGTGAGAACATGCACATCACCCAATTAATAGCCAAAATGGGGAGGGGAAAAAAGTATGCACACCAACAATCATTGCACATTACTTGAGTTTGCTCAACAAAGACCACATGCATCATAGGAATAGATTGGACATACACACGTACCTCCAGTGCAGACTCACGGGCTTGACCATAAACAAGATGAAGAGGAAGCAAACCCGCAAGATGCTCAGCAGTAGCAGCTACTGTAGCTTTTATAGGCTGCCTTTATAGACCAGATGAAGAATAAAACCATGAAGAATTGATAAGTGGCTTTATGTTTCATAAATAAAGGCCTTATCACAATTGTTCAATACAAAAGTTCAAGTATTGCCTAGTATCTTCAGAAAAAATATATGAATAATATTGTAACATTATATGACTTGAGATTTAAAATTTTCCCTTTCCCCTGTCAAATTAATAAAATACCATAATCTTACAAAATTGAAAATGTAAGACCTATGATGAATATGATTAGACACCCCTTAATATCCTGAATCTTTCAACTCCATCATCAATATATTTTCAATACAGCCAATAAATTATACCTACTTTGCAAGTTATATGAAAAAGACAGTTTAAAACTCAAATTTATGTTTCTGGCTCTAACCTCAAGTTGATTAGAAGTGAGTGGCCATTACAATGTAAATGGCTTTCCCAAGAAGAGGGCTCTGACTGAACGACAATAATCATGTCGGATAGTGCTTTAGCCTGAAAATGCTTGTCTAGTAACAATGGTTCACTGTGAATGAACCAAAAGATTGGAACCTCTAGCATGGACCTGGAATTTGCATGCCTACCTGCTTGGTTTATAAAGATTATTATCTAGTAATATACCATGTTATTGAGTAACAAAAGCGAAACACTTTCTCAAATAAAAGGAAATAAGAAAAAAATAACTCAATGAAGTTGTGAGATTTTAGATAAAAGAGGAAAAGAAATAATAAGAACTTTGAATATTAATGAGAATGGCTTAATACTACATTGATACCAAATCCTATACACTAATCTCTACTTGTATCGATACGCAGACTCAATTCTAAACCAAGAACAAATCATAATCATAAGTAATGTAAAATCTAATCCTAAATTATAAACTAATTCTAGGAAACATCCTAAGATACTCAAATACAATATTAAAGATATTTTATAATATTCCAACACTCCCCCTTGAATTAAAGCTTGCTAAGATTTAAACTTGTCACAAATATAACTTTTGAAAGAGAAAATATAACACATGAAATAAACAAACCCAAACACCATGGTGGATGCATGCATATCAATTATGAGGGCACTTGTCCCCAAAAAGGGGGGAAATTGACTTTAAAGTGTCAAATAATTTTTAATTTCTCCCAATAAAAAAAGAATTATTGCTTACATAAATTATTTTTTTAAGAAAGTAAACGTGGAAGGTTATAAGAGATAAAACATAGTAAACTAATACAAATTTTGATAATTTATTCTCCTAATGTTTATCACTTCTTTTGGAAAGTTATAAGAATGATAACACAAACAACCAATGATATCAAAACTTCAAACCAAACCAATGAAGAATGCTTAATTTATGTATATTTTTTAATTCAAGAGGATGGCCCAATCAAATCTATTTGTTCCCCCAGCTACATGCAAATTCCATTCTAAAAATTAAAGGAGCACATAAGAAGGAGACCTTTAAGAGAACCATGTTTATTTAGCCTTTGCAACTGATACTGCAGAATGGAAGAATCAAGATAGGTGCGAATTGTCTTCCGGTACGTTCCATTAACAAGTAACAGAGGCACAGCAGCTGCTCGTCGTGCAACAGAGAAGGCCATTGCTAAATCAGGATCATCTGACAGAGGTAACCTGAAACTTGGTAACATTAGTATATAAAAAAAAACTAGGAAAAATGCACATTTTAAGGCGACGTGACTAATCAAGCATTTTCCAGTGTGCCTGCAAAGAACTTTCACCAGCCAAATTCTAATTGAGGTTGGAAAAGAAAGGAGCAGAATAAAACACTTATGACTTGCATACATGTGCGGACTGAACATTGGTTGCTGAGAAGGTGCCATCAATGAAGAGAGTCCTTCCTTTATAGCATTCATATCCACAGGAAGTTGTTTAATGTGTCTAACTTTCTGAAAATATAATAGCAAGAACATAAATATTCCACTAGTGCAAGCCTTTCTATATGATGGAACATACATCTTACCTCCTGTGTCATGAAAAACAACTGAAAGGATATCTTCTCATAATAATGGAAGGCCCCCTCAGAAACTGAAGGTGATACAATATGTCTCATAGATCCCCACAGTGTCGCACCGAGATGTGCAAGAAACGAATCACGTGCAACTGTGTAGTTTTGGAACTCCTGCATTGAGGCAAACCCATGAACCACGCTAGTACTGAATTGAATTAACCATGTTGCACGTTATTAACCATGTACATTTCAGTGGGTTGTGAAAAAATAAATTAATTCTGTGAAAAGTAGTAATAATTCATTAGCATAAAATGAACTAAATTAACCAAGTATTTGAAAGTCCATGTAGCATTACGTGAATCGTGCATGCGATGTTGATAAAGGTGTCAAAAAGTCCTTTTTCTTTGATAAAGGAAGAAACTATTTTCTATTTGGTAACACTTGTAAAAATGACCAAAGGTAACTTTTCAAAATAATCATAAACCAATTTTTTTTCAAATTCTATTTATTTAGGAAAACCCTAAAACCTCTTGAATAGACTTTTAAAATAAAATAAAAACGATCAGACAAACGAGCCTCAACACAGACGGACCAATCAGCTGACCTCATGTGTGTCACTGAATAAATTCCAGCTCTCCATCCTCTTTAACGTCTCTATGGCTTTTGCCTTATGACTTTCATCGTATTCTTCACCTTCAAAAGACTGTAACTCATTTTTCAAATCCCGCATCCTCTCGTCAAGTTCTGAAATTATCACAAATTTTAGGATGTATGATATATACAGTATATAGATATTAAACTTCTGGGAGCACTAAACGAGATGAGGTGTAAGGAAGTACAAACATATCCAAATGATTACCATACTGGTGCCTAACCTGTGTCGTGTTGTATATATATAGACACATCTTTAACAAATATATTTCGAACAATTATACTAATAAAGTTGGTTTTTGTTGAAGTTGTTCAATTTTAGGTAAAAGATGAGAGAAAAATATTATTGAAAATAGTTTAATAATAAATGAAAATACAAAGCCTAAGGGAAATACTATTGGTGAATAATAGTTATTCCTAACATTCCCTCTTCAAATCTAGGGTGGTTGACCAAGTGTAGACTAGTCAGACACTCTCAGTTTGTCCCTTACAAGATTAAACTTCGTTGTAGACAGTGGTTAGGTCAAGATGTCTGCACATTGATCCTGTGCAAGGACATGAGAGACAATTAACTTTTTCTCTTACAAAGAAAATGTAAAGCTCCATGTGCTTGGTTCTCGAGTGAAGAACTGGATTGTGAGCAGTAGATTTGAAGAGTTGTAGTCTTCACTTAGTTCTTGTAGAATGGACTGCAACCATATGATCTTTGATGATATTTGTATTAAGCTCTTATCCTCAGCTTCGGCACTTGACCTTGCTACAAGGGTTTGTTTCTTAGCCCACCAAGACACTAGATTAGGCCCTAAATAGATGGAAGCTCCTGATGTTGATCTTATATCATCTAGATCTGAGGCCCAGTGTGCATCATAGAACCATGTAACGGATAAAGGTTTTTCAAGGCTTGCAGGCTTGATGACTGCTTTCTAGTGATCATCCAGCAGTTCCTGAAGGAATTAGCAAACTTTGTTGACATAATAGGAAATTTCAGGCCTAGTTATTGTGAAATACTGCAGAGCTTTTAATATTGATCTGAAGTAGGCGGGATCTAGAACATGATTAGACCCATATTTGGACAGTTTAAATGAGGAAATCATTAGAGATGCCATGCCCTTAGCATTAGTCATATTAGCTTTACTAAGGAGATACCTAATATACTTAGCCTGAGAGAGTATTGAGCTGCTATTGGTGGAATGATGGACCTCTACTCAAGGAATGTAGTCAAGTTGTCCAATGTCTTTTAAGGAAAATTCAGAGTTGAGTTTGTGGATGAGTTGTTGAAGGACTTCCTTTGAACTTCCAGTTATGATTATACATCGGCATAGACTAGTACAACAGTACATTAATTTTTTCCATTTAAGGTAAACAGATAGGGAGGTGGTACACTTGAAATAGGTGCGTGTGGGAAGGTTAAAGAAATTGGTTATGGTTGGTGAGTTGTAAGTGTTGGTTGATATGATATCAGGAAATAATTCTGAATCTGGGAGTCTTAATTCTTGAAAAATCACATCTTATGAGAAGTCTGCTAGTTTGGCAAGACACTAGTAACCTCTATGGATTGGTGAATAGCCTAAAATCACACATTCCTTGAAATGAAAATCCAATTTGTCTATGTTATAGGGCAGGTAAAGGAAACAAGCACAACCAAAGGGCTTTGAGGTATTTGTAGTCGGGAAATTGTAGGTTAATAAGGTAAAAGGGTGACTTGCTTTGCAAGGTAGGTGATGGAAGGCTATTTATGAGATAGGTTGCTATGAGAAAGGCATGGCCTGAAATTTTAAAGGTAGTTTGGCAAGGCCTGTTTCAACTGTGTCTATGTTTTCTTTCCACGTAGCCATTTTGGTGATGTATGTGGGAAGACAAGTCTATGAGTAATTCCTATGTTATTTAGAAGTGTGGTAAAGAGGAGAAATTCTCCCCCACCATCAATTTGGACAGATTTGATCTTTTAGTTTAATTGTAGTTCAGCCATGGTTCTAAAGTTGTGAAAGGCAGTTAGTGTGAGATTTGAGTTTTAGAAGGTAAATCTGGATTAAGCATCTACTAAATACAAGTTCAAGAGGCTTGCTATTGGATATTTGAGATGAAGAGGAAGTATTCTATGAATTTCAAGACAACAAGCATTGCAGAAATAAGTAAGAATTTTATTAGGTATGGCCTCATTACAAAGTTGTAATACACTTTTGAGTACACCACATAATGAGGATGGCCAGTCTTTTAGTGCCACACATTGTACAAAGAAGGAAAAGATTGACTGGTTGTACTTGTTAAATGTCGGTCGTACCTGTCCCTGAAGTCGCACCTGTCTTTGAAGTCACATTTGTCCCTGAAGTCATATTTGTCCCTGAGGTCACTACGGACTCTCCTCCGACGCTCTCGCCATCACCGGATCCGATCCTGCAACCTGAGTCTGATCTTCCGATTGCCCTTCGAAAAGGTATACGTCAAACACGAAATCCTTCTCCACATTATATTGATTTATGTTATCATCGTCTTTCCCCTTTGCAGTATACTTGTTTGTCTTCTTTGTCTTCTGTTTCTATTCCTAAAACTCCAGGTGAAGCATTATCTCACCCTGAGTGGAGGCAAGCAATGATTGATGAAATGTGTGCTCTTCAAAGCAGTGGTACCTGGGAACTGGTTCCTCTACCCCATGGAAAATCTTTAGTAGGTTGTCGTTGGCTTTATACAGTGAAGGTTGGTCCAGATGGCAAGATTGATCGATTTAAAGCTCGCTTGGTAGCCAAAGGATACACTCAAATTTTTGGGTTGGATTATTGGGATACCTTTTCGCCTGTAGCCAAGATGGCATCTGTTAGACTTCTTCTAGCCATTGCAGCCATTCGACATTGGTCTCTTCATCAACTTGACATCAAAAATGCATTCTTACATGGCGATCTTGAAGAGGAAGTATATATGGAGCAACCACCTGGGTTTGTTGCTCAGGGGGAGTCATCGAATATGGTTTGTAGGCTACACAGGTCTCTTTATGGTCTTAAGCAATCTCCGAGAGCTTGGTTTGGTAGATTTAGCACTGTAGTACAACAGTTTGGTATGATCCGTAGTGAAGCTGACCATTCTGTTTTTTATCGTCACTCAGCCCAAGGGTGTATTTATCTTATTGTGTATGTAGATGACATTGTCATAACTGGTAGTGATCAGCAGGGAATACTCCAGTTGAAACATCTCTCGAAACAATTTCAGACAAAAGATCTTGGTAAACTCCGTTATTTCTTGGGTATTGAAGTAGCCCAATCTAAAGATGGTTTGGTGATTTCTCAGCGGAAATATGCTATGGATATTTTGGAAGAAACAGGTTTGTTAAATGCTAAATCAGCCGATACTCCTATGGATCCAAGTGTTAAAATACTACCCAATCAGGGAGAGCCTCTATCTGACTCAGGAAGGTATAGGAGATTGGTTGGAAAGTTGAATTATCTAACAGTCACTCGTCCGGACATTTCTTTTGGAGTCAGTGTGGTAAGCCAGTTCTTAAATTCCCCTTGTCAGGAACACATGGATGCTGTTATCCGGATTTTGAGATACATCAAATGTGCTCCAGGAAAAGGTCTTGTGTATGAGGATAAAAGACATACCCAGATAATTGGATACTCTGATGCTGATTGGGCAGGGTCATCCATTGATAAACGATCCACCTCTGGGTATTGTGTACTTGTTGGAGGAAACCTTATATCCTGGAAAAGTAAGAAACAAAATGTAGTTGCAAGATCAAGCGTCGAGGCAGAGTATAGGGCCATGGCAATGGCAACATGTGAACTTATTTGGTTAAAACAGTTGCTCAAGGAACTTCAAATTGAAGAAACAAGACCAATGACACTTATTTGTGATAATCAAGCTGCATTGCACATTGCTTCAAATCCAGTCTTCCATGAGAGGACAAAACATATTGAGATAGACTGTCACTTTGTCAGAGAGAAGATCGAGTCAGGCGACATCGTCACAAGCTTTGTCAACTCTAATGATCAATTGGCGGATGTGTTTACAAAATCTCTACGAAGCCCCAGAACTAATTATATATATAACAAGCTTGGAGCATTTGACTTATATGCTCAATCTTGAAGGGGAGTGTTAATATTTATAAATATATATATTGTTAAGAATATTTGTATATAGAATAGTCCCACATCGACTATATCATGTAATTAGTTGTAATCTATTTATATATAATAATGTCTCCGTAGTGCTTTTCAAAACACACGGTTTATTCAAATGTCTCTTAGTCTCTTGTATTTCAACAGTTCTAAATTGAGAATTATAGATATTCATCCATTAGTTTAAGGGGGAGTGTTGTAAATAAGTTATTTTTATTATTGTAATATTGTTAGAAGTAACTTGTATTCAGACCTTTAGTCCATTAGGTTGGAATAGTCTATATAAAAATATTAGTACTTATACATTATTCATTTTTTAATTTAGGAAATGTTTTTAGCTCATTTACTTTCTCTTCTAAATAGATGATTATGTTTATTATTTAGACTGCATGGAAACCAAACATGACCAGATCATTATCGAAGCAATTTGCCTCAAAAATATCTCTCTTTAGTTGCCAAGTGAATAAATTTGTTCTCTGCTCTCTTACAAAAACAATATTGTTAGGAAAGCTCAAGGAAACATTTTTTCTGGAAAAAAATGCATTAGACAAACTTCAATTTTAATCAGCACAATGCACAAGACTATCACTATGTAGGGTCTGTAAAGAGTAGATGTAAAAGCCTTATTTCCGCAAGTGAAGAGGGTTGTCACCAGGAGTTGACATGATCTCCAGGTCACAAGGCAACAACCTTACCCTTGAGCCATAGCTCGCTATCCAAGTTTAATTTTAAAAAACAAAGCCCAAAAATGTAAAACAGATTACCTTCACAAAGAGCAAGTTTGACTTTCCTTCCCTTGCAATGTTTAAAGGCAAAAAGCTCATATATATCAATCTCAGCAAGAAGAATATCAATGGCCTGGTGGTCTTTCTGCAACATTAAAAATCAAAGCTGACTTGCTAGTTACTACAGTTTTTTAGAAAAAAAGAGTCGGGACCATAAACATGCTTAGGCCAAAATTCCTCTTAGCCTCCTAATTAACATGCCAGCCATCAAAGTATAAAAAATTGCATGGAAGTACGGTCAATTAACTATCGTCTCTATATTTAACTTTATAGCATATAGTTTCTAATAATCAATTATTTATGTTGAGCCCCAAAATTAATTTTCTCTTTATTTTTGGCAACAACTGCAGTGGAAGGATTCTAACCAGCGTTGTCGATGGCGGTCCATGGCAGAGAGCCAAAATCCCGCCAACCAGCCACTTTGCAGCACCGTTATAGCGGATTATGGCAAAAAAGACCGCAATATCGGCCGATGTTTACCATTGCAGCGAGCCCAAATATCTCCATGTATATCCGTCATAGCAGCCATGGGGCCGCTATTTGATAACACTGATTCTAACAAGTGGTCACTATTTGTTATAACTCATTGAAACCTTGTTCTTAGAAGCATAAAATATAATATGCAATCCACTGTAATAAGATCATTCGAATGATACATACATCATCACCAAATACAGCAAATTTCTCATGAATAGCATTTTGCAGAAGGTCTTCAGCTTCCTCTTCTGAAATTTCTGAATCAGCAACAAGAAAATCAAAATAACATAAATAAACAATGACAACTCAAATTAAACTATGCAAGAGGAACTGAATAATTGTGTTTTTGGAGTTTGTTTTCTTGTATGTTATATATATAAAGAAATACAACTCAGATTTTGTCTCGGTGTTTTTCCTTTTTTTCAAATCACTTTTCTCTTTATATTTTATATATGGATATAAAGTGGAATCTGTTGCCATTTAGGAACTGTTATCCAAAATATTACTACCACTATATATCAAACACATCATTAATACCTGAGGCTGAACCAGTTGTCCTTTCCACATTTGGCAAGCTTGCTTCTGTACGCACGCCTTCCCCACCAACAGCGGGCCCCCATGAAAAAGGACCGGCACTTAAATCAATAAAGGCCCATCTGCTACAAAACATAAATGAATGTGAATAGCAAGAAATGTATATGTCTTCGCATATGCCATGCAAGATAAAAAGAACCTGTCTTTTCCAATCCATGTGTCGGTGAGACATTCTGCTCGAAGACCACCATAATCCCCAGATTTTAATACCCTTTCCAATAGGAGCTTTAGATCTTGATCCTTCCCTTTCAGTAACTTGAAATACCAAAAAACGAATTACATTAATGAAATGTATGGTAAATAATATCCTGAAACTATTGTGTAGAAAATATTTCTGATATAAATAAAATACAAACACTAATGTTTTTAAATTGAGACAACTATTCTCAACCTAATCGTTCTGATTTATAGATTGAATACAATTGTTACAAATATTTGCAAATAAGAACTATTACGACACTCCCTCTCAAGCAACTTGAAATGTTTGGTTCGTAATCTCTTTTTAACACATTTTTCAGTTGGTGCCTAGAAAAATTTAGGTTGTATGTTTCAATATAATTTGTTTGTCATGCTGAATAGGATTATGAATAATATTAAGAATTAAACCTGTCCAAATTTTTTTAAGAACCACACAGAACCTATGAACTGCTCTAGTCTGAACTTAAAATAGCCGACTTGTTGGAGCAAATCATGAATCAAAGGCACTTCATCTACCTAGATTGTGACCTTAATTCTAGTTCAACTCAGTTTTATTCAGTTTTCTTCTTGAACTAAACCATGACCACCCCTACTAATGGTTGATATTTTGTCACCAAACAACTTCGTGGAGCTTTCACACTTTATATCAAATCCTCTTGCACAATTTTAATCCACAATAGCTAAAAAAAATCTTGTCCCATAACTTAAAACTATGTCTGAGCTAATATACCTTGCTTCTTACTCCTCCTACACACAACAAGGTTCCAATACAAGAAGATACAATAGCCTGGCATAGATGTTCTATTATTTATTGAACCTACACTATTAGCATCAGTATACACCTACATTGTTAGACTTCCACCTCTTTTAAACAAAAGTCCTCTCCATGCAATAGTTTTGAGATATTGTAGAATATGGCATACATCTTGCAAATGTCTCTCCCTTGGATCATGCATGATGTTAAGAGTCCCACTTATAAACACATGTTCATGCCATATATTGTCCGATGTGGGACTCTTAACACACCCCCTCACGCTCAGGACTGGACAACTGAAGCGTGGAAATAAATGGTGGGTGGCCCGATAGCGGAAACCACAATTCTTAACATGGTATCAAGAGTCTCGTTTAAGATCCGGTGGGCCACCTTCTATGGTTTCCGCTATCGGGCCACCCACCATTTATTTCCACGCTTCAGTTGTCCAGTCCTGAGCGTGAGGGGGTGTGTTAAGAGTCCCACATCGGACAATATATGGCATGAACATGTGTTTATAAGTGGGAGCAATCCTCACTCTACCAACCGGTTTTGTAGGGTTGAGTTAGGCCCAACCACACTTCTCAACACATGAATTGGCTCACCATACAAATTGTATAAGCCAAATCTAGAGTAGTGTGTGCCACGTAAATCAACTTTCCCACTAATCATCGATTTTGTACTATATCAACTTTGACACTTTCCTCCTTAAAGCTCATCTTCTATCATCCACTGAACCTGCGTTACTAGCATCAGAATACACATACATTTTTAGGCTTCCATCTCTTTTAAACAAAAGCCACCTCCCTGCAACAACTTTGAGATATTGTAAAACACAGTCTACATCTTGCAAATATCTCTCCCTCGAATCATGCATGAAGTGTCTCGCCACATTAATTGTATATAAGCCAAATATAGACTAGTGTTTGCCAAGTATATCAACATGCTCACTAATCTCCAATGTCATACCGTGCCAACTTTGGCCCTTTCTTCCTTAAAGCTCATATTGTTATTTTACTCAATGAGAGCACTCGCGGATTTGCACCCAATCCTGCAAAAGCTTAAGGTCATACTATCTCTTAGAAATCAAAATGTCCACCTCAATTTTCAAAAAATACCCGAGTCGCCTAAGATCCTTTCTCTTAAACTTTGTTGAGAATTTTTTCGTAAGTGTTGATATGTGTAAATATATATATATAGTGTTGAGAATATTTGTATATAGAATAGTCCCACATCGACTATATCATGTAATTACTTGTATTCTATTTATATATAATAATGTCTCCGTAGTGCTTTTCAAAACACACGGTTTATTCAAATGTCTCTTAGTCTCTTGTATTTCAACATGGTATCTAGAGCCTGATAAGAGGCAATTCTTTCTTCGTCGTGCTTTACCCGGTTGACCCACTGTCTTCCGGTGAGAAATTTTTAAAATTTTTTTTTTTTTGCAAACCGTGTTGTCACTCCGGTTTGCCTCACTTTTCAAAATTCTTCGGTCATAACCGCATAGCTGCCGCCGTCGTTGCTATTCTCAACGACCTTCCGGCAAACTTTTTCATCGGCAGAAACCTCCACACGCGCCACCTCCGTCTCTGCGCGTGGGCATCCAGCGCCGCCACCTGAAACGCACGTGACAGCACGTCCGGCCAGCGATCGATCGCGTGATATTTTCTCTCTTCAGATACTCATGGCTACTCCTCAGAACTTTACGCCAAACTACGATGATTTCCTCAGGTGGTATCAGAATTATCAGAACTCAGATTCTACTGCTAAGGTAGCACACACTGGTAATTTATCTGTTTGCCTCTCTCAATCATCTCCTCTTCGACCTTGGGTCCTTGATTCTGGTGCGTCTGATCATGTTACTGGTAATAAAAATTTGTTCTCTTCCCTCTCTACCTCTGGTTTCTTACCTACTATAACTTCGGCCAATGGTTCTCAAACCCGATCCGAAGGGATTGGTACTGTTCAAATTCTACCTTCTCTATCTGTTACTTCTGTCTTCTATGTACCTAATTGTCCATTTAATTTACTTTCAGTCAGTCGTTTAACTCGTTCTCTTGATTGTAGTATCACCTTCACTAATAATAATGTTACCCTGCAGGATCGGAGTTCGGGAAAGACGATTGGCGTCGGATATGAGTCTCAAGGCCTTTACTACCTTTCATTGTCATCTCAGGCATGCTCAACCAAAGATTCTCCACTCACTATCCATGCTCAGTTAGGTCATCCCAGTCTTTCCAAATTACATAAGTTGGTGCCAAATTTATCGAAGGTATCTAATTTACATTGTGAGTCGTGCCAATTAGGGAAACACACTCGTAGTCAATTTCCCTGTCGAGTCAACAAACGAGCTTCGTCCCCTTTTGCTTTAGTTCACACCGATGTTTGGGGTCCCTCGCGTACTGTCTCTACTCTTGAGTCTAGGTATTTTGTCACCTTTATTGATGATTTTTCACGTTGCACGTGGTTATTTTTAATGAAGAATAGATCTGAATTGTTTTCCATTTTTGAACAATTTTATCGAGAAATAAGAACCCAATTTGGTTTGTCTATTCGTACCTTAAGAAGTGACAATGCACGTGAATATTTATCTCAACAATTTCAAACATTTATGTCATCCAATGGTATTTTGCACCAAACATCTTGCCCTCATACACCCCAACAAAACGGGGTAGCCGAACGCAAAAATCGGCACCTCGTAGAAACCACTCGGACCCTACTTCTCCATGGTAATGTTCCTCTCCGGTTTTGGGGAGATGCAGTGCTCACGGCATGTTACCTCATAAATCGCATGCCATCATCTGTCCTTAATAATAAAATTCCTCATTCAATCTTGTTTCCAAACTCTCCACTCCACCCAATTCCTCCTCGAGTCTTCGGGTCCACGTGTTTTGTACACAATCTCCCCCCTGGTCTTGATAAACTATCAGCTCGATCACTAAAGTGTGTCTTTCTTGGCTATCATCGATCCCAAAAAGGTTATCGTTGCTACTCACATACTCTACAACGATACCTCGTATCCGCCGATGTTACCTTCTTCGAGTCTGTTCCATATTTCGAATCCAGCCAAGTTACTACGGAACCTCTACAGGAAAGTATTACCACACCTCTTCCGGAAGTCCCATCTGTCATTATCCCCCATCATTCTAGGGAACCTGACCCACTAGTTACCCCTACGGTTGACCCCCCCACTCCTCGCCCACTTCAAACATATCAGCGTCGTCACCCAAAGTCTGTCGTACCTGTCCCTGAAGTCGTACCTGTCCCTGAAGTCACTACGGTCGTACCTGTCCCTGAAGTCGTACCTGTCCCTGAGGTCACTACAGACTCTCCTCCGACGCTCTCGCCATCACCGGATTCGGTCCTGCAACCTGAGTCTGATCTTCCGATTGCCCTTCGAAAAGGTATACGTCAAACACGAAATCCTTCTCCACATTATATTGATTTATGTTATCATCGTCTTTCCCCTTTGCAGTATACTTGTTTGTCTTCTTTGTCTTCTGTTTCTATTCCTAAAACTCCAGGTGAAGCATTATCTCACCCTGAGTGGAGACAAGCAATGATTGATGAAATGTGTGCTCTTCAAAGCAGTGGTACCTGGGAACTGGTTCTTCTACCCCATGGGAAATCTTTAGTAGGTTGTCGTTGGCTTTATACAGTGAAGGTTGGTCCAGATGGCAAGATTGATCGATTTAAAGCCCGATTGGTAGCCAAAGGATACACTCAAATTTTTGGGTTGGATTATAGTGATACCTTCTCGCCTGTAGCCAAGATGGCATCTGTTAGACTTCTTCTAGCCATTGCAGCCATTCGACATTGGTCTCTTCATCAACTTGACATCAAAAATGCATTCTTACATGGTGATCTTGAAGAGGAAGTATATATGGAGCAACCACCTGGGTTTGTTTCTCAGGGGGAGTCATCGAATATGGTTTGTAGGCTACACAGGTCTCTTTATGGTCTTAAGCAATCTCCGAGAGCTTGGTTTGGCAGATTCAGCACTGTAGTACAACAGTTTGGTATGACCCGTAGTGAAGCTGACCATTCTGTTTTTTATCGTCACTCACCCCAAGGGTGTATTTATCTTATTGTGTATGTAGATGACATTGTCATAACTGGTAGTGATCAGCAAGGAATACTCCAGTTGAAACAACATCTCTCGAAACAATTTCAGACAAAAGATCTTGGTAAACTCCGCTATTTCTTGGGTATTGAAGTAGCCCAATCTAAAGATGGTCTGGTCATTTCTCAGCGGAAATATGCTATGGATATTTTGGAAGAAACAGGTTTGTTAAATGCTAAACCAGCTGATACTCCTATGGATCCAAGTGTTAAACTACTACCCAATCAGGGGGAGCCTTTATCTGACTCAGGAAGATATAGGAGATTGGTTGGAAAGTTGAATTATCTCACAGTCACTCGTCCGGACATTTCTTTTGCAGTCAGTGTGGTAAGCCAGTTCTTAAATTCTCCTTGTCAGGAACACATGGATGCTGTTATCCAGATTTTGAGATACATCAAATGTGCTCCAGGAAAAGGTCTTGTGTATGAGGATAAAAGACATACCCAGATAATTGGATACTCTGATGCTGATTGGGCAGGGTCACCCATTGATAGACGATCCACCTCTGGGTATTGTGTACTTGTTGGAGGAAACCTTATCTCCTGGAAAAGTAAGAAACAAAATGTAGTTGCAAGATCAAGCGCCGAGGCAGAGTATAGGGCCATGGCAATGGCAACATGTGAACTTATTTGGTTAAAACAGTTGCTCAAGGAACTTCAAATTGAAGAAGCAAGACCAATGACACTTATTTGTGATAATCAAGCTGCATTGCACATTGCTTCAAATCCAGTCTTCCATGAGAGGACCAAACATATTGAGATAGACTGTCACTTTGTCAGAGAGAAGATCGAGTCAGGCGACATCGTCACAAGCTTTGTCAACTCTAATGATCAATTGGCAGATGTGTTTACAAAATCCCTACGAAGCCCCAGAACTAACTATATATGTAACAAGCTTGGTGCATTTGACTTATATGCTCAAGCTTGAGGGGGAGTGTTGATATGTGTAAATATATATATATAGTGTTGAGAATATTTGTATATAGAATAGTCCCACATCGACTATATCATGTAATTACTTGTATTCTATTTATATATAATAATGTCTCCGTAGTGCTTTTCAAAACACACTGTTTATTCAAATGTCTCTTAGTCTCTTGTATTTCAACAGTAAGCAATTGTCTCTTAGTCTAATCATCTCTTGCAGTCAATAACATAAACAAAAAGTAGTTAGTTTTCCTTCTTGTGAATGTATGAAGAAAAGAGTGTGGTCTTTCTAACTTTGCTTATAGCCCAAGCACATCATTGCAGCAAACACCGTGTGAGACCCAATGTCCGGTGATTTCCACAATGGTGGTTGTTGGTTTAACCATTCTGGTGGTGGCCTCTCATTTGGTTCTTCATTCACCTATCGAATGGGTTTCTGACCCATTACCACTTTAAAATTTTTGCAAGTGGAACTTAGATTGGCCGAAATCCATAATTGGTACCATGTGACGACTATATTACTCATCCACTGCGCAATTTTTGGTATTTGATCTTCTTTACATACACCTCCCTGTATCAAATATTTCTCAACCTTGATCATCCATCCAGCAACATCCCTTCTTTCAAAGATTGATATTTCTAGTCGTAACTCTTTGAGTTCTCTTCTCTAATCTCTAACTTCATTCAACACTTCATCAACAAGGTAAAGTATTCCTTCCATTCTTGATGACAACTCCATTTTTTCTCAGTTTTTTTATTTACTCTCCCATATCGGATGTGCTCTGATACCAGTAGATAGAAACTGGTACAAACAGAATTTAAATACAGGAAAATAACACGCAAACAGACTGACAAGGACCAGTTTGGTTCCAAGAAATCGAGTTTTGGATCTCACTTTCCAAATGTTGGAGAGTTGGTTCTCTCCCGATACCCAATCAATAACTTCACGGTTATAAACTTTCTCCATCTTCCCCTATTTATTCTAAACAGTACACACACGCGCAAAATTAATAAAATGCAACTGCCACTAACTACTTCTAATTAATATAATAAGTGCCACTTAAAAATATAATTGCTACTGAATGAAAAGTCTAACATGTTTCTTGATTAAACAATGGGATTATCGTAGGGTAAACAACTGCAATAAAACTTTGATGTTACACTGAAAGAATTTAGAGAAGAGAGTTGAGAAATGTGATATTGGGCACAAGATCTTTTTCCTTACCTAAAAGCAATGTTGTAAATTATTTGAATAAATATCACAACTAACAGGAACATGAGAATAACAAAGATGGATCATTTTAAAGTTACTTTGAGTTCTGGCAATTGATGTTATGTTTGGATCACATCTGGTTTACTTCTTATATGATACATTAGAATTGGTTGTGTCAAAGGTGTTGTTGATTCTTGCAAAACAGAAGCCAATTCTTGCAAAACCGAAGCCAAACGAGGAACCTTAATAGAAATAGACTCAAGTTCATACGGCCCAGCTTGGGTGACGTTGATGTTGAACCCTGCTTTCCCTACTGCTAATGTTGATCCATCAGAAGGATTCTCATCAAGCATGATGGTATGCTGATGTAACTCCTCACTGCGAATATTTAACGCTCAGTCTTAACATGAACTCAAAGGCCATATCCCTCTTAATGAAGGTGTTCAAGGTGGTAATATCCTTGCAGCACCCCATCTTAAATTCATATAGTTATTCAACTCAAGCAAGAGACCATTTAATTCCAAAATTTATCGGTAACTGAGAGACCTCTATGCTTTATATTGAAGATTTTAGTCTTCAAATCATAGCAAGTGGAAATATATTGCTTCAAGGAGTAACTCTCATAGAGGTTTTCCCAAACTTCTCAGGCAATAGGAAGGAACGTATGATTTAGGAGTTATGATGAAGTCCCAAAACCAAGTCATCATGACAAAATCTCTTTTATCCCACATGATAAAGTCATCGCCAGTTTTTGCAGGATGATTCTATTCAATATAGTCAAGTTTTTTGTGGCCTTTTAGCGTGAGGGGCATCAATTGAGCCAATCGAAAATATATTTTTCCATTCAGATAATAGTCGTGTTTTATGTGGAGATCTTTAAGATTAAACAAAGTCGATGCAGCCGTTAGAGCAAGAGGAGTCTTGTGGACAACATAGGAGAATTCATCAACACAATATGTCATCGAAGAGACAAACACGAAATAGTTGAGACGGAAAAAAAAAAGGAAACTACTATTAAAAATATCTAAAAACAAAGTACTCAGAAAATTGTATTGACCACCAAAACAAGGGCAAAAAGGTCACGGAGAACGGAGCAAGGCAGAGTGGCACGTAGACTTCATGCGCTAGGACAGCTTTGCGGCTGTGCCGGAGCATAAGGGTGTCTCCGGTGGAGCATGATCGTGAGGCAACCGATCCCTATGCAGAAATTCTAATGGTCTTACTACTGTCGCAAAAACTTCATCTTCATCGAGTGGTAAAAAACACTTAAACTGCAACAGTGGCATCTAGGGTTAATGCAAAAGCAAGGCTCCCAAAACAAATACCATGTAGAGAATATTTCTAATTCATTTCACAAGAGTAAATAAAGTAAAAGAACTAATCTATATATTTAAATGGTAACGAAGATAAACCTAACTGGCCGATTACAATTATTCAAACTAGTTAAAAATGATTACAACTATTTAAACATATTGCTTAACTTATCAAAGATATATAGAGGCTTATTGATGAATATATACCTGTAAAGCTTTGGCCTCAATAGTTTTAGCTATCTCAATCCCTTGACGCAACTTCCCATAATTATCTAGCGTCTCAAGCCAAATATTATACCATTCCACCTGCAATTTGTAGTTGTGCCAAAGTCAGCAAAATTTCAAAAAAATAAAATAAATTACACTGCCCTTGCCATGAAAAAACAACAGATATAAAACACAAACATGAAAAACAGTTATGATAGAAATGCCGCCAGTTTCTCTCTACAACCAAGACAGACATTTTTCTTGAAGAGAAGAAAAATACTTGAGTGGAAAAACACTTGGCAGAATGACATTTATATACCAGAAAAATACAGTTTACAAAAAGAGATATTAAAGAAGTCACGAGTTGATGCAAACCAGAACTCAACCCTACAAAACTAGTTGGTAAGATAAGGGGTGTCACTCTATATAAACCTTTTGTAGATTGTATCTTTAACCAATGTGGGACTTAGGTTTTTCCCAATACACCCCTCACGCCCAGCACTATTGGGCTTGGTGCGTGGATATAAACGGTGAGTGGTCCGATTATCCGTATATGAGACTTGGTTTTTCCAACACACCCCCTTGCGCCCAGCACTTTTGAGCTTGGTGCGCATATATACATGGTGGGTGGCCCAAATCGATAGGCTCGTGATACCATGATAGAATTAGAGTTTGACCTAACTCAACCCTACAAAACCGGTTGCTAAGGTGAGGGGTGTCACTCTATATAAATCTTTTGTAGATTGTATCTTTAACTAATGTGGAACTTGGGTTTTTCCCAATAAGCTATTGCTACCCATGCATTTCGAGCATAACCGATTTCTAAATATTTCTTAACTCCCTTACAACTAGCCTATAACAGCCGTAACCCACAAATTATGTAATCACCTTCATTCTTTTTATAGCTTCAATAGTAGTGGTTCTGTTGAATGGGCCTTTACCTTCGTTTTATTATAGCTTCAATTGCCTCTGTCCCAAATTATAAGTCACTTTGTCAAAAAAATTTGTACCATATTATAAGTCACTTTACATTTCCAATGCAATATTAAAGACATTTTTTCCAATATACCCTCAAGTATTTATTATTATTTATTCATTCAATTCTTTTAATTTCTCTCTCTTATGTAATTATGAGGGGGCATTACTGTAAAGTCGTATCAAATTTGTCTTTTCCATAAAGTAATCATTAAGTTTCTTAATTCGTGTGAAATGCCCAAAACGTCTTATAATTTGGGACGGAGGTAGTAGTAGTTTAGTTTCATAGGTCTGCGTGGCAAGCATCAGTGCCCTCTTCGTAATCTTGTAGTGGAAAAAAAAAAAACCCACCCACTAACTAAGTCTCACCTACAGGCTTCAGAGCTATCACACATATTCATGTATTCTATTAGCAATTCAATAATATGCTTCTTCACATCTCCTTCAACGAAGTAAGTTGTTCCACCCTATTGTCTTTCCACAAACTCAGCATGGAGGAGAGAGATAACTCCTCTAAATAGCCTTTACCCAAAGGCTTGCAGACGGGTGCACACCAGAGACAATAGCAACAGTGGTTATATCATTTGCGAGTTCACATCAGATTCACTATAAATCTGATTTGAATTTGGCCCAATGAAATTTGACCTTTGATTAGGCTCTGTAATATCCCTTTTGTTAGGCAGGGGGGATCTTAAGAGGGAAATAGATTGCTGAGGAACTATTATAGCAGGAAAAGGAGCACTGAAGGAGATAACAAATAGACCCTAGTCAATTAGCAGTTAGTTGTTTCCTGTTATTTGTCGGCTAGAGAATAGCCTTTAGATAGCAGTGTACTTATATAATGAAAGGGGGTCTTTTTTTGTATTTTTGTGACTAGAGACTTATATAGCGTGAAAGGAAAGTGCTCCTCTCAGGTAGCCTAGTGCGTAAGGTTGGTTTCTTGTTTATTCTTACTGTTTTCGGTTGAGTGTTAATGCCACAAGGACATTCAAAAAATTCTGCTTTTTCCCTGTTCTGTTGATCAATCTACACAATAGTTAGTGCTGAAAAATATTTTATTTTCATATTTAATTGTTTACGTTTATTATCATTTATTTTTTTTTATTCTCTGTTAAGGAGAGAATTAAGTATTTTTATTGTATTCTCATTATATAAACCAGTTTTTGACTGAGGAATAAAATTACAACAATTTTTATCTATTTCTTTTAATATGGTATCGAGAGCTCTGGATTAGGGTTATCGTATCTATTTCTGTTCGACCCGCTTCTTTATTCGATCCGATTCGCATACTAGTTTAACCTCTTATGGCGAATAACAACGGCGGAGGCCACAGCAACGGAGGTGGCCACGAAAACGCCGGTGGTCACGGAGATGGCGAATGTGAGGAACCGCCAGTGGTCACAAACAGTGGCAATAATGAAGACATTAACATTGTTTTTGACAGTAATAACGACAATAATGGAAACAAGAACATTGTCTTTGGTGATAGTTATTCCAACATAGGCGGTAATGATCAAAAGGATTCCTCATACTCCCTCAAGGTCAATATCCCTAAATTGAATGGGAATAACTATAATGAATGGGCTCAAACCGTTCAGTTGGTGTTGGATAGCAAAGGGAAACTTGGTTTCTTAACAGGAGCAGTAGCTGAACCGGCATCAGGAGATCCTCGTTACAAACAATGAAAATCTGAAAACTCTTTGATTATTGCGTGGCTGGTAAGCTCCATGAAAACTGGAATAGGTAAGCCTTACATGTTTTTGCCTTCTGCAAGAGATGTGTGAGAAGCTGTTAAGGAAACATAATCTGATATTCAAAACTCCTCCCAAATTTTTTATTTAAAATCAAAGTTATGGCACGCGAAACAAGGTGACAGGAGTGTAACTGTTTATTACAATGAGCTGTTGACACTGTGGCAAAAGTTGAATCTTTGTTATGATGACAATTGGAGGTGTACAGAAGACAGTGTTTTGTTTCTCAAGAGGCAAGAAAATGATTGTGTATTCATGTTTCTCGCTGCGCTCAATAAAGACCTTGATGAAGTAAGAGGTAGAGTTTTAGAAAAATTACCATTGCCAACTCTTCATGAAACTTTTGCAGAAATAAGAAGGGAGGAGGCACGACAAAGAATTATGATGGGCAAGACACCACGAAGCTCTGAATTTGAAGGTTCAGCTCTGGCTACTAGGAACCTTGACGAGGGAAAAAAGTCAGATAAAGTTCCTTGGTGTGATTACTACAAGCGCGAATGGCATACACGTGAAACCTGTTGGAAGGTCAAAGGCAACCCTTCAAACTGTAAAAAAAAAGGTGGTCGTGCATTTCAGGCTAGTAATTCTGATCAAGGGCAGCAATCCCCTACAACTCAGCTTCCATTTAACACGGAACAACTAGACAGACTGTACAAACTCCTCGAGTCTCCAACCCCTTCTTGCTCTATAGCAACAAAAGGTGATTCTGCACTTCTTAGTGTCAGTCCCAGTCATACTTAGATAGTAGATTCAGGTGCCTCTGATCAAATGACAGATGAATCTACTTTGTTCTCTTCATATAGTCCATGTGCAAGTAATCTGTGGAATAATCAATACAGAATCAAATGATTCTGTTTGTACAGCTCATTAGGATTAGGACTAATGTAATTATTTAGTTATTATTTCCTGTTTTTACTGTAATTAGAATTAGCATTTATGGGAAAATTAACTCCCCTGATTTCTAGGACAGATTTCCCTTTCAAATTCTGCCTTATGTATTCTATAAATACTGCTATGTAATTCTCATAAAACACAAGGAAATATAAAGTATATTTCTACATGGTATCAGAGCACGATCTGAACCATCCCTAACCTAGCGCCGCCAAACTATGGAGGATCCTAAATCTGATGAATCGCTCAAAGTGGAGACTGGATCATTTCCGACCAGTTCACACGAAAGGATCACTCACCTCATCACAGGCCATAAATTAAATGGTCAAAACTATACCCAATGGGTAAGGTCAGTCAAGATCTTCCTCGAAGGAAAAGGAAGAGAAGGCTACACCACAGGAGATTCTAAATGTCCAGCGGAAGGAGACAAAAATTTTCAGAAATGGAAACTTGAGAACAGCCAAGTAATGTCATGGTTGCTCAATACCATGAAAAATGAAATTGGTGAAAATTTCATGTTCTATGACACTGCAAAAGAGATATGGGATGCAGTGAAGGAAACATACTCAAATGTTGACAATACATCTGTCGTATTTGAGATAAAAAGCATTTTTCATGACCTTCGACAAGGAGAATCTTCTGTTACCGAGTATTTTAACATACTTAACAAACACTGGCAGCAACTGAACATATATGAAGAGGTTACATGGTGTTGTACAGAAGATAAAAAGAAATATAAGGAATTGGTGGAAAAAGATAGGATTTACAAATTCCTATTAAGACTAAACAAGGACCTAGATGAAGTTTGCGGAAGGATCCTTGGAACCAAACCACTTCTCAAAATTCGAGAAGCCTTTTCAGAAGTGAGAAGGGAAGAAAGCAGGAGGAAAATCATGTTGGGGACACCCAACTCAGTTCCGTACAGCGAGAGCTCTGCAATGGCAGCAAGGGGGAATCAGCCTCGACCATCACAAAAGAAAAACCGCCCATGGTGTGATCACTGCAAGAGACCAGGCCACACAAAGGAAACATGTTGGATCATACATGGAAAACCTTCGGAGGCAAAATTGTTCAAAGGCAAGGAGGGCAGAGGTAATACAACATTAACAACCAAGAAGCTGAGGTATACTCTAACTCATCTCCTTTTAGCAAAGAACAAATGGAGGCTCTTCAAAAACTCCTTCAGCAAACTATGTTAACCGTAGAAAAAGGTGGTACTGCTGTAGTGGCTCAAAGAGGTAATTATTTACATGCTCTAAACACTAGTAAAGAAAAAACAAAATCATGGATTGTTGACTCAGGGGCCTCAAATCATATGACTGGAGATTTCACCCTGTTTAATAGTTATTCTCCATGTCCCTATAACTATAATGTTCGAATAGCCGATGATACACATTTTAAGGTCACGGGTAAAGGATCAATTATAATTTCACCAAATATTACTCTTGACTCTGTTTTGTATGTGCCTACACTTGATTGTAA